ACAACCAGAGGTTCACTTCGGCAATTAGCCATCACCTGGGGCTGATTGCAGGTGGTGTATTTAAGGGATGGCCAGACCTGCAGTCTGTGCCTTGGTGTGTGTGTTTTTCCATGGGCCCCTGTATCTTGTAACCTGCATTCCTGTTCCTGTTTCTGCCTGACTTGTTGCCGACCCTGCCTGATCCTGACCTCTGCTGACTTCTCCTGTTTGATCCCTGGCTTGTGACCCTGACCATTCTCTGCCTGACCCCCTGTACCTACCTGTCCGTTAGTTGCTGTACCAGGCTCGTGACCTGACTACTCTTCGCCTGCTCCTCCTGTACCTACCTGCCCGATAGTTATCGACCCGGCCTGCCTGACTACGTTGTGCTCTATATGTGTATGTACCTGTGTATCTTTATCAGTTTAGGTTTGGGTTTGTTTCACCTTGTTGTATGTATTTGTGTTAGCTTGGGGTTTGGTGCACTGCGTTTATATTTGTATTGTTAGTCTTAATAAATTGTCTTATTTATACCATATCTGAAGCCTACGTTTCCCTGTCAGTCCACACACTTCTGGTCACACCCGCATCCCTGACACTCTATGTATGATATAACTGTAGCGCAACCCACGCAGGAGCCACTTCTTTGTTGCCTCGCTGTCTCCTTTACAGTTATTTCTGCAGCCAAATACACTCACACACACTTCAGCTGGTTGTCTTCAATGACCAGTCTAGGGGATGTTTTGTTTATGAAATTTATTGTACAACTGGGGATAAGGATAGGGAATGTAGTAGGATACTCCAAATCAGGACTATTCACACTGAGGACATCTAGCTGATCTTTTGGTTGAACACTGTAGAAGTCTTGACTGACTGTAGATAGCAGACTTCCCTTTGACATATATAGCAGCAAGTAGTTTAGGAGTGAGCAAAGTTCCTTTAGCAGGATAAGTAGTAGTTACAGGGCTGAGAGCTCCTCAACTAATAAGCCAGTTACGACAGACTGCAACAGCCAAAGGTAACGTAGCTAGGTAAAGTCCTTTGCAGCAGTAGCAGTTGGACAATATCTTCAGAACACTAGCCAGTGTTCCCTTTTTCCAGACTCACACTGACTATCAAACCCCAAGGGAGGTAGCAAGCACACAGTGTCCCCAAGTTCCTCAATGTCAGTACTAACAAGGCACAAGGATAGAGAGGATGCCTCCTTCCAATCTTCCAAGCAAGACCCTACAGTGATACCAGACAGAGCCTTGGCAGACACCTCCCCTCAGTCAGCTTCCTGCAAAATCAATGTTTCTCTCTCTCTAGCTTCAGGCCTTCAGGTTGACCCACCTGAGGCTACATGGCAGTAGTTGCCAGGCGAGGCAGCCTGCCTCCAGCCTGGCTGGTGCAATCCACAACTGGGAAAACCCTGAGAGCGGCTCTTCATCTTCATATATTCTCATATTGGAGCAGAGCCAGGCTACAGGAACCAACATCTGGATGGTTTGTGGACATTAGGAGGTGTAGGTTTGGAGCAGTACCATAGCATCTTGCTGTCCTCCAGGTCAACTAGTCTTATGATGTGTTCACAAATCCTCTCAATTCTCTCCCAAGGCAACCTGCAGAAATATCTAGGTTTTGGATGTAGTGGCGTACCTAGCATATCTGCCACCCAGGGCCAATTATTTTTCAACACACCACACACACAAAAAAAAAAAACAGTTACAGTGGCTCTAAAGGCTGAAGGTTTTTTACCTTCATGTATTCCATGCATGAAGGTAAAAAAAATCTTCTGTGTGCAGCTTCCCCCCTCAGCCCACCAATACTTATTTGAACCCAATCTTAATACAGCAATTGTGCATGAGAGCAGCCAACCCCTTCCTCATTTTCTCAGAGACAGAAGCAGGAGCCATTGGCTCCTGCTTCTGTAAATCACAGCAAATGAGGAGGGAGCAAGGGGGATGGGGCTGAGCCAATCTTTGTCTATCAGTGGACACGTAGGGCAGGCTTGGAACCAATAATGCACGAATGCTTCCATAGCAAGCCATTTGCTATAGGGGCACTCAGCAGGTGGAGGAGCAAGGAGCTCCAGTGGGGGACCTGAGAAGAGGAGGATTGGGGCTGCTCTGTGCAAAACCACTGCAAAGAGCAGGTAAGTATAACATGTTTATTATTTAAAAGAAAAGAAAAACCTTTTATATCACTTTAAATAATGCTGTGCACACAGAACTCCAAGCCGAATTGTATGTGTGGCAAAACGGTGCCTAAGGAGAAGCTTAAAGAGCAATAGTTAAAGTAAAGCTAAATCTATTCACTGTATGCACAGCGCACTTATGCCATAATACTTGTACTTACGCTTTCAGGAGTGCACAACACACAGAGTGCAGGGCTCAGAACTTGGTAACACAGACAGTACAGGGCTCAGGAGTAATGCACAAAATGTGGTGCCCAGAAGTGTGCAATGTAGAAAGTGTAGGGTTCAGGAGTACATAACGCACAGGCCACTGTACAGAACACAGCAAAAAATGTACTCCCTCCTAGCAGTACTAATTTCCCCCCAGCACATATACCCCACAGTACACCTCTCAACCAACAGCCCCAATCACCCCCCCCCCCCATACAGATCTTTCCCCACAGCCATGAATCTCCCATTCCAGCCCACCACTTTCATAGAGACCACGCTTCCAGCCTAACCCCCTAGTTCAGCACACCCCAGTACAGCTGGCCGGTACAGCACCTTTTTCCCAGCCTTACCCCATGTACAGAGTCTACAGAGTCTAACTATCCCTCCAGTACAGAGTCTATCAGTACAGACATCCCTTCAGTGCATATTTCCTCCTCTGGTATCTACTTACCAGATGCAGCAGCAGTTTAGAGTGAGACATTGTCCTCCTCTCAGCTGTGTCATACAACCAGAGCCAAGGAGGCAGCTCCCACTGGCTCTGAACTGCTGCAGCAGCAATGCAGGAATGTCAATGAAGTGCATACAAAACATATGTAGATACATAAGGTTTTTTTTTTTTGTTAGAGGCTTGTTAGAAGCCTGGGATGAGTCAGCCTGGGAGTGAGGCAGTGTGGTTACCTCAGGGCAGGCTGAGAGGCTCTACAGTTCAGGGCTTCTGGAGCCCATCCTTCTAAAAACTAGAGGGACTTTCTAGAAAAGGGCCGTAGGAGGGGAAGAGGACTAGATTTGCATGTTTTAGGTGAACATGACAACAGTCCGGGCATGGTGGCTAAGAGCAACCCTTAAATGTAAGAGAGCCTGTGCAGCAGAAGGAGTGGTGGTGTTCGGGTGGAAGATGGATTAAGGAAGGTGTTGGAGCATGGAGCCTGGGAGGGGGGCCTACCTACAGGCTGAAGCAGACAGGAGGATCTCTAGTGCCCTACTTGTGAGAGACAGCCTGGGAAGCAGCCAACCCAGCGTAAGGCTTGAAAGCAGCTGCAACCCACTAAGCTACAGGAGAGGACAGTGTGAGTATTCTTAAACCTCCTGGGCCACAGAAGGGAGAGGGCAGTCAGGTGCAAAACCCATTTAGTCTTCATCTGGGACTGTTTCACAGTGGATTCTGGAATCCCTTGCCCAGGATATCCTCAGGACAGTCGGTTGGATGAGGGGAGAGTTTCATCTGGGGTCTGAGGAGGTACACCAAAGGGGACTCAGCACTCCTTACTCAGTGCTCCTGTACATTGTTTGCTAAGAAGTTGGCCTCAAGTTCTACAATTCCTTGGACATTCCATATACCCCTAGACTCCATCCAAGTTGTTAACACTTAATAAAAACAACAAAACCAAGCACTGTTTTACTGACTCTGGGAGAAAATGTGGAAAAATGCTTAGCTATGCAGAGCTTAGTGGACCCAAAAATCCAGGCGCCCTCAAGAGGATAGCGCTACACATAAAATGTTGGGCCACTGGATAGCACCCTCACCATGCTGCTGCAAACCGCTCCCACTTGTCCCTGCACCAACCTAAGTGCATCACTGTATGAATGCCATACAAGACTTCAGAGGCAGTGAGGGACAGATTAAACAAGGAAAGTTCTCCTGTATCTCATGTCACAGTTTACTGCCTTTAGAAATAACTAGAGATGAGCCGGGGCCCATGGCAAGATTACGGGCCTGGCAGCAGCATTGGGAGCCGTACAGGGACCCATGACACACTCTGGGACCTGGCAGGCAGCTGATGGAGGAGGCGGTACAGATTACGGGGCCCATGAGGGACAGTATATACAACCCCCCAGGGCCTGGCAGCAGCATGAGGAGTAAAGGTTTATAGTGGGTTCGTGGGGCCCATGACACACTCTGGTTAGTTTGTGGGTTCAGCAGCATGAGGAGGCGGTACAGTTGTTGGGGCTAGGTTATGTTACAGGGGGTTATGACAGATTACGAGCTGACAGCAGCAAAACTTGGACAGGAGGACGTTCAGCTTCTGCACCGTGGCGGTGCGGTGCTCGCAAAACTGTTGTCTCTTGAAACGGATTCCATGAAATGACTGCTGACGGAAATCCGTTAAGAGGAGTAGCTCGGGAGAAGGAGCATCTGAACGAGCGGACTATGCCAACAAGCGACAAACAGGGGCCATGACAGATTACGGGCCTGGCAGCAGCATGAGGAGTCGGTCACGGGGGGCCCATGGCAGATTACGGCCTGGCAGCAGCAATGGGAGGCCCATAATCTGCCAGCACCGCTATGACTAAAAAATGGAACACACCAGCAGTGCAGTGAGTGAGACCTGAAAGTGGCATATGCCGCAGAGTGTGGCGATGGAGGACAGCAGCAATGGGAGGCCGTACAGGGACCCATGAGAGACTCTGGACCTGGCAGCAGCATGAGGAGGCGGTTTGGGGGTACAGGGGCCCATGGCAGATTAGGGGCCTGGCAGCAGCTATGGGAGGCCCATAATCTGCCAGCACCTATGACAAAAAAATGGAACATACCAGCAGTGTGAGGAGACCTGAAAGTGGCACATGGCAGAGTGTGGCGAATGGAGACAGCAGCAATGGGAGGCCGTACGGGACCCATGAGAGACTGTGGACCTGGCAGCAGCATGAGGAGAGGTGGTACTGGGGCCCATGGCAGATAGATTACGGGCCTGGCAGCAGCAAATGGGAGGCCCGTAATCTGCCAGCACCCTATGACAAAAAATGTAAACACACCAGCAGTGTGAGGAGACCTGAAAGTGGCACATGGCAGAGTGTGGCGATGGAAACAGCAGCGATGGAGAGGCGGTTCAGGGACCCATGAGACACTGTGGACCCTGGCAGCAGATAATGAGGAGGCGAGGTTACAGGGGCACATGGCAGTTTAAGGCCTTGGCAGCCAAGCAATGGGAGGCCCGTAATCTGCCAGCTCTCGCCTATGACATAATGGAACCCTGGGGCTGGGGTCAGGTCAAGAACCGCTGTATCTTTATCACGGTTTTCCAGGCCACCGAATGGCGACGCTGCATATGTGACGCAACGCTGTAGTCCCAACATGGGCCCCCTGGCCACGCTTGGACTTTCTGGACCACATAGTCGACATACGGCTACGTTTACTTCCTCGGGCGGCTTGAAGCGAAAATTTGCCACACCGCCGAGTAGGAAACTTTGCCCCCGCTACTCCTCACTGGCTGGACTGCTACTTCCTCCGTGCACACCGGCACCACTACTGGCCGTGGTGGATAGGGATGCTGGTGGAGCTGGTGCTCTACTCCGTGGGAAGCCTCCATGACACTGCTGCGACCCTGCTGCCTCCTGGCTCAGCAGCAATGGGAGGCCTGTAACAGGGACCCATGACACACTCTGGACCTGGCAGGCAGCCTGAAAGAGGCAGGTACAGGGGCCACCATGTGGCAGATTAGAGGCCTGGCAGCAGCAATGGGAGGCCGTAATTCTGCCAGCACCCATGACAAAAAAAATGGAACACACCAGCAGTGTGAGGGACCTGAAAGTGGCATGGGCATGAGACACTCGTGGGACCTGGCAGCAGGCATGAGGAGGTGCGGTACAAGGGGCCATGGCAGATTAGGGGCCTGGCTAGCAGCTTATGGGAGGAGGCCGTAATCTGCCAGCACCCTATGACAACAAATGGAACAACCAGCAGTGTGAGGGAGACTCTGAAAGTGGGACATGGCATGAGGACACTGTGGAGACTGGCAGCAGCATGAGGCGGCGGGTACAGGGGCCCATGGCTGATTAGCGGACCATGGCAGCAGCTAGGGCGGCCCGTAATCTGCCAGCACCCCTATGACAAAAAATGGAACACACCAGCAGTGTGATGGAGAACCTGAAAGTGGCACATGGCATGAGCACACTGGGCCGATGGACCCGAGCAGCAGAGCATGATGAGGAAGGCGGTACAGGGGCCCATGGCAGATTCTGGACCTGGCAGCAGTGCGGGAGGCCCGTAATGTTTGCCAGCACCCTATGACAAAATATGGAACACACCAGCAGTGTGAGGAGGACACTGAAAGTGGCACACTGGCAGATGGCAATCGTACTCTGCGCAGCAATGTGGACGGTCGTAATCTGTCAGACTCCAGTGAGAGACTCTGGACCCTGGGAGCTAGCAATTGAGGAGTCGTGGTATAGGGGCCCATGGCAGTTTAGGGGCCTGGCAGCACAGCATGGGAGGCCCGTAAATCTGCCAAAGCACCCTATGACAAAAAATGGAACACACCAGCAGTGTGTGAGGCACCTGAAAGTGGCACAGGGCATGAGGAGGACTGTGGACCTGGCAGCAGCATGACGGAGGCTAGGTACAGGGGCCCATGGCAGATTAGGGGCCTGGCAGCAGCTATGGGAGGGCCGTAGGCCCGTAATCTGCCAGCATGCTATGACAAAAAAATGGCACACCAGCAGTGTGAGGATGGACCTGAAAACAACGATGCCAAAGGATGAGCACTGCGTGGATCTCGTCGAGCAGCAGCATGAGGAGGCGGTACAGGGGGCCCATGGCAGACTTGCACCTGGCAGCGCAATGGCTGACACGTGGCACATGGCCCATGCCAGGTAAGATGGAACACATGACAGCAGCTCATGAGGAGGCCCGTTTAAGTGGCACATGGAAGGCGGTTGGCAAAAGATGGAACACAGCGCCATGGGAGGAGTACAGCTTACCCCAAGGATGAGACGGTTGGTGGACATGGCAGCAGCATGAGGAGGCTGGTATAGCGGTGGCCTATATGGCAGATTACGGGCCTGGCAGCAGCAATGGGAGGCCCGTAATCTGCCAGCACCTATGACAAAATGGAAACACCGCAGTGTGAGGAGACATGAAAGTGGCACATGCACAGCAGAGTGCTGGCGATGGAGACAGCAGCAATGTGGGAGGCCGTACAGGGACCCATGACACACTCTGGACCTGGGCAGCAGCATGAGGAGGCGGTACAGGGGCCCATGGCAGATTAGGGGCCTGGCAGCAGCTATGGGAGGCCCGTAATCTGCCAGCCCCTATGATCAAAAAATTGAAACACACCAGCAGTGTGAGGAGAGCCCCTGAAAGTTGGCACATGGCAGAGTGTGCGATGGAGACAGCAGCAATGGGAGGCCGTACAGGGACCCATGAGACACTCTGGACCTGGCAGCAGCATGAGGCAGGCGGTATCACGGGGCCCATGGCAGATTACGGGCCTGGCAGCAGCTATATGGAGGCACCGTAATCTGCCAGCACCCTATGACAAAAAATGGAAACACACCAGCAGCTGTGTGAGGAGACCTGAAAGTGGCACATGGCAGAGTGTGGCAAGACAGCAGCAATTGGCAGATGGCGGGGAGGTACTGGGACCCATGAGAGGTCTCACGGTGGACCCGCATGATGAGGAGGCGGTACAGGGGCCCATGGCAGATTAGGGGCCTGGCAGCAGCTATGGGAGGCCCGTAATCTGCCAGCACCCTATGACAAAAAATGGAACACACCAGCAGTGTGAGGAGACCTGAAAGTGGCACATGGCAGAGTGTGGCGATGGAGACAGCAGCAATGGGAGCCCGTACAGGGACTCCATGACAGACTCTGGCCCTGGCAGCAGCATGAGGAGGCGGTACAGGGGCCCATGGCAGATTAGGGGCCTGGCAGCAGCTATGGGAGGCCCGTAATCTGCCAGCACCCTATGACAAAAAATGGAACACACCAGCAGTGTGTGAGGAGACCTGAAAGTGGCACATGGCACAGTGTGGACCGACTGGCAGACAGCAGCAATGAGGAGGCCGTACAGGGGCCCATGACAGACTAGGACCTGGCAGCAGCATGAGGAGGCGGTACGAGGAGGGCCCATGGCAGATTAGGGAACACCTGGCAGCAGCTATGGGAGGCCCGTAATCTGCCAGCACCCTATGTCAAAAAAGGGGAACACACCATGTGTGAAGGAGACCTCTGAAAGTGGCACATGGGCAGTGAGACACTGTGGACCTTGGAGCAGCAGCAATGGAGGAGGCGCGTACAGAGGGCCCATGGCAGATTAGGGGGCCTGGCAGCAGCTATGGGAGAGCCCGTAATCTGCCAGCACCCTATGACAAAAAAAAATGTGAACACACCAGCAGTGTGAGGAGACCTGAAAGTGGCACATGGCAGAGTGTGGCGATGGAGACAGCAGCAATGGGAGGCCGTACAGGGACCCATGAGTCAGAGACTCTGGACCTGGCAGCAGCATGAGGAGGCGGTATAGGGGCCCATGGCAGATTAGGGGCCTGGCAGCAGCTATAGGAGGCCCGTAATCTGCCAGCACCCTATGACAAAAAATTGAACACACCAGCAGTGTGAGGAGACCTGAAAGTGGCACATGGCAGAGTGTGGCGATGGAGACAGCAGCAATGGGAGGCCGTACAGGGACCCATGAGAGACTCTGGACCTCGGCAGCAGCATGAGAGGCGGTACAGGGGCCCATGGCAGATTAGGGGCCTGGCAGCAGCTATGGGAGGCCCGTAATCTGCCAGCACCCTATGACAAAAAATGGAACACACCAGCAGTGTGAGGAGACCTGAAAGTGGCACATGGCAGAGTGTGGCGATGGAGACCAGCAATGGGAGGCCGTACAGGGACCCATGAGACACTCTGGACCTGGGCAGCAGCATGAGGAGGCGGTATATAGGGGCCCATGGCAGATTAGGGGCCTGGCAGCAGCTATGGGAGGCCCGTAATCTGCCAGCACCCTATGACAAAAAATGGAACACACCAGCAGTGTGAGGAGACCTGAAAGTGGCATGGCATGGCGATGGAGACAGCTGTGGACCGTGACCCATAGCACCATGACAGCAGCATGAGGAGGCGGCAGGGGCCCATGGCAGATTAGGGCCTGGCAGCAGCTATGGGAGGCCCGTAATCTGCCAGCACCCTATGACAAAAAATGGAAACACACCAGCAGTGTGAGGAGACCTGAAAGTGGCACATGGCAGAGACTCTGTGGACCTGGCAGCAGCATGAGGAGGCGGTACAGGGGCCCATGGCAGATTAGGGGCCTGGCAGCAGCTATGGGAGGCCCGTAATCTGCCAGCACCCTATGACAAAAAATGGAACACACCAGCAGTGTGAGGAGAACCTGAAAGTGGCACATGTTTGGGGCATGATTCATGGCGGATTTAGTCAGTTGTGTCAGGAACTGGTGGTTTGAAATCCAGACTAATCCACGCCTGATTCATTTTCACAAACGTGAGTCTCTCCACACTTTGGGTGGACAGTCGTGTCCTCCGCGGAGTTACAATACCTCCTGCCGCACTAAACACGCGCTCCGATGCCACGCTACTGGCCGGGCATGACAGCCTTTCAAGGGCAAATTCAGCTAGTTGGGGCCAAAGGTCAAGTTTCGTTGCCCAGTAGTCAAGGGGATTGTCTACCTCGGTTGGCAGGGTGCTGTCCAAGTAGGCCCAAGCCTGTTGTTTTGAGGTCCTGCTCCAGGTCCACCTGATGCTGCTGCTGCTGCTGCTGCGGCTGGTTAGTAGTTTCCTCACTGCGCTGGTGAAGAAAGCTACTCATCATCGACTGCAGACTGAGGCAGCCGCTGCTGGTGGAGCTGCCCACTGCTCCTACCACCCCACCCCTCCCCTGCTGCCATGGCAGCGGAACGCGAGCGCACAGGGCCCACAGTGTCTGAGGATGGACGTTGGCGCAGAAAGGCAGAGACCAACTGACTACATAGGTGGTTTTTATAGTACGTTATTTTGGCCTCCCTCTCAGCAGGTGTGAAAAAGGCCACCATTTTTTGAACGGTAGCGAGGGTCCAACAAGGTGGACAGCCAAAAGTCATCCCTCTGTCTGATGGTTATTATTCGGGCTGTCGCTACGCAAGCAACCGAGCATGCTATGGGCCATTTGTGCCAAGGAATGCGAGGGGACTCCCTGCCTCCATCTCCACAGCATACTGCCACGGTGCGTCTGGGTCCTCTGTCTCCTCCTCCTCCTCCTCTACCAGATGCTCCTGCTCCTCCACTCCTGTCCGCTGAGTGGAAAAAACCACCCATTTCACTCAATAATTCCTGAGCACAAATGTCCTCCTCTACTCCTCCTCCTTCTTCTCCTGTCCTGCCCCCACAGGGGTCATGTGGCGTTGAGATCTGTGCGCCACGTCTACCGCACCCTGACCAGCCATTGTTAACAGCATTTGTTCCAGGACGTGCAACAGAGGAATGACGTCGTTCATCCCCATAGTCCTGCCGACTCACGAATAGCGTGGCCTCCTCAAAGGGCCTGAGCAAGCGGCAGGTGTCACGCATGAGCTGCCAATGGCTGACATCGAAGTTACACAGGGAGTACCTTTATCCGCTTGTAACATCAGGAAATCGGTGATGGCCTTTCGCTGTTCGTAAAGGCGGTCTAACATGTGTAGGGTTGAATTCCCACCTTGTTGCAACGTCGCAGATCAGGCGATGCTGTGGAATTCCGTTCTGGAGAGCCCGCTGCAGCTCAAGGAGGGTGTGCTTTGCGGTGTAGGAATGGCTGAAATGCATGCAAAGTTTTACGTGACATTTTAAAGGATGTCTTGCAGTGGGATGGTGGATTTTAGGAACCGCTTGACAACCAGATTGAACACGTGAGCCATGCATTGGCGCATGGCACAACCTTCCTTGACGCAGAGCAGACACCATGTTCTTTCCGTTGTCGGTCAACATGGTTCCGATTTTCAGTTTGCGCGGAGACAGCCATCTGTCGATTTCTCTGTTCATTACACTCAGAAGTTCCTCCCCTGTGTGACTACGTACGTTCGCCAAGGCATACCAGGTGCAGCACAGCGTGACACCGTTGCGCCCTGCACATGTGATATGCCTGGGTCGGGTAATGGGACTTGGCACGGGGGTGGTGGCGGCTGAGGACACGGCGGAAGAAGAGGTGGTAGAGGCGGACATCTTTGCCGGACCAAGGACGTGCAAACGTGTGGAGGCAAAAGCGGCGTGACCTGTCCAAGTTGCTGGTGCGGCTGTGACGGCACCACGTTCACCCCAGTGGGGCCGTAAATGACATGTACTGGTCCCTGACCGTAGTTACAGCTCCCACACACGTCGGCGCGGCGCTGCCGTGCACTTTGGCAGAGACCGACATGCTCAAAGACTGGCCCACCATCTCTTCTACATGTGAATGCAGGGCTGGCACTGCCTTTTTGGCGAAGAAATGACGGCTTGGCACTCTCCACCGCGGCGCGGCACAAGCCATCATTTCTCGGAAAGGTGCTGAGTCCCACCACTTGGAAAGGGAGGGACTGCAGCAGCACCAGCAACTTGGACAGGAGGACGTTCAGCTTTTGCACCGTCGGGTGCGTGCTCGCAAACTGTTTGTCTCTTGGAAACGGATTCCAAGAAAGACTGCTGACGGAATCCGTGAAGAGGAGTAGCAGGAGAAGGAGCATCAGAATCTGAACGAGCGGGAAGATGCCAACGAGCGACAACTCCCCTCAGCAGAGGTGTTGGAGCCTTGACTGGCTGATAGAGGGCGATTGACGTCGGGTGACGGAGCAAGTAACGGAGCGGGTGATGGGAGCTGGGGGCTGGGGCGGGCAGAACCGCCGTATCTTTATCACGGTTTTCCCAGGCCACCAAATGGCGACGCTGCATATGCTGCCGCAACGCTGTAGTCCCCAACATGGGCCCCCCCCTGGCCACGCTTGACTTTCTGGCCACATAGTCGACATAACGGCTACGTTTACTTCCTCGGGGCGCTTACGGCGGCTTGACAAAAAAATTGCCACACAAACCGCCGAGTAGGAAACTTTGCCCCCGATACTCCTCACATGGCTGACTAACTCCTTGCACACCACACCACTACCCTCAGGGCTGCAGTGGAGCGTACTGGAAGGGCTATGCCTCAACTACTGGCCACCGTGCAACCAGTGGTAGGCTGAGTGGACTGGAGCCTACTCCGTGGCCGTTTGCCTCCACTGACACTGCTGCGCACCCTGCTGCTGTCCTGGGCAAACCCACCGACTGTTTTGCTCGCAGCTGCCAAGCCTGGCCACCCTCTTCTCCTGATGATGCTGAAGAAATAGCCTGATGACGACGAGGCTCCAAGTGCGATCAGCCCTCATCAAATCATCATCAATTAGGGTCTCCGCCTCACTACAACACTAGCCCCCTCGGCTGCGTGTGGGTCAGGAGACAGACCTGGGCTCTAG